CGGCTTCTTTTGTCGGTTTGATGTTTGACAAGCACCTTCAACAGAAAAGATAAAATATTCTTTCAATATTTTTGAAATTTTGGAACTTGTTTTGACTCCCATAAATGCCTCTTGGAATAAATAAAGCAATAGACTAAAGTCAAAACATGTCAAAACCTATTAGAGAGCCGCTGCAGCCACGCTGCAGCCATTACTTATTCAAATGCAAAGAGAGAGAGAGAGAGAGAGAGAGAGATGCCCTCGAGATTCTACCAGATTTGTTGCATTCCGGTCGTTTCGGTTGCCTTCCTCGATTTGCATCCCAAGGCCAGTCAAAGCCTTGGTCCGCCAGCCACTCGCCATGCTGCAAAAAGCTTGCTCTTTTGGAAGCATGAGATTGTACTCCTGGCTTCCGAGTGCCCTCCCGGATTTCGGAAGAAACACGCACCAATTTGAAGGATTAGAATGTGTAGATTTGGGTGATCCAGTGGAGCTGATGGTGCCATTGGATTGCATGATGTTGTGCTGTTTTCTGTTGGTGTGGTGCCAGGATTTGTTGCCCTTCCGGTCATAGACATTGACATGGACACCGGCCGCTATGTTGACCATGTCCTTGTGATGTAGCGAGCACTCGTGCAACTGTTCAATGTTGTTCCTGGCAATTGGGGTCGCCTCCTTCGTTTGCCAAGAGAAATCCTCTTAAAAACTCTCACCCAATTGCCATCGAGCTACGTGGAGAGTTGGAGTTGCATTGGAAGATTGAAAAGGACCCAGATGAAGCCATTCTGTTGGCCATTCGATCCATCGACATTGCAAGTTGTGATGACAGTAGGCTGGATGAGCAAACGCAAGCAAGCACTATCCACAGAAGTGACACCCACTATATAGTGCACTGCTACATAATTATGACGCGCAAAAGGGATGTTCGTTCATCTCAGAGGTGGATTAGAGGATCATTCGATCACAGAATAGATCAGTTTAGATCCACCAAGTTGGGTTGAAGCCACCAACAAAATATATAGTTATATATATATATATCACTGTGACGTTTGTGAAGCAATGTTATTTTCTTTTTAACAATATTTCTTTTTTCTTTGAGGGGATCTCAGATCTCTATAGTTCTATGCAGTCGTTAAGGATCAACACAGTTGCTGCCCTTCACGGAGGTTTGCAGTGGAGCAGATTGCCGCTCACATCCCCTTGCTGAAGGACTTTGGTGATGAGATGATGGATTTTTGCATCGAGTGAATTTGGTTTGAGAATATGAAGTGGGCACAAACATCATGTCGATTCAGTTCTTGAAAACAGCCCTTAAACAGTAAGAGGTTCTTCAGTTCAATTGGAGAGGTTGTTAAACAGTCTACAGTCTACATTATAATGTGGATGAAGAGTAGATGGCGCAATCCCCCAAGTTTGGTGGTTGAAATTGAACCCCCATTTGTTTAAGGCATGTATGGGTGCTAGTATCACGTACTCTGAAACCACTGTACATGAAGTTTGCACAAACATAGGGAATTGGCAACCCATGACTGACTATTTACACTTGCTGTATAGCTGACATGTTTCAGGTCACTGCCTACTCGTGGCGTCTTCAACTAGTAGGTGGAGTTCTTGCCAAAGACGGTGACAGACCAGCTGCGCCGACAGACATCTTCAAACCTAATCTAGGCAAGTATTCCATAAGTACATGAATGATTTGATGAGGATGTTCATTTCATCTCTCACCTCGCACCCCTGCAATCCTGCAGGAGATCCCCCTGCAATTGGGTGTGCAACTGGCTCAGAGGGAAGCTGACCTGGATGCCCGCAGGCCGAGCAAAAATGCCGGCTGAAAGGAAAGCGCTGAAGTGGCAGGGGAGCCATTTGGGCAATGAAGGATGTTCAGGAAGGTTGAAACGGATGAAACGGAACACACACGGAGTCCAAAACGAATCATACTTCCACACTCACTCAGTTTGTTTCAATAGACTTCCATCAAGGTGTTGTCTATCCCGTGGTTTTGCTTCCAAGCCAAAGACCCGGCGCTCCTTTTTGTTCTCCGTCCTCGGTTTGTCCGTGAGGCGGCTGCCAGAGCTGGAGCTGCAACTGGAGAAGGAACGTGCTCGCAGCTTGGCCACAAGCCATCGGATAGCTTTGGGGCATCGGATTCCGGTGACCGACACGGCAACGGGCACCGGCCGGGGGTGCTTACGGAGGTGACCCGGAGGACACATGGGGGGCATTGTGGATGTAAAAAAAGGCAGCGAACGGTGTAACACTTCGACAGCTGCTTTGCATATGCTGTGGATCACAGCAGCATGTTTGGGAACAGAATCTCTTGATTCTGTTCTGTTGTGTGTGCTAGTATACTCATGGTATAATGTTATATAATAATCTCTACCCAGATATGAGGGGACAGTCCAAGTGTTGAGGTGTTGCGACCAGTGACCAGTGACCGATGTTTTGTTCACCGGTGACCGCGGACCGCGGACCCAGCCCTCAAAGCCATTCGACGCCCCCCAAGACATCGGTACAAAGTGCACACGAGCGTGACATTTGGGCTCAAGCATCGAACGTGATTTCAGGACGACTCTTGGCAACCATGAAAAAACCACTTCATTTGCCAAAGTTGGAGATGATTGTCCAGCCAGGCCTTTGCCTGAGACACTCGATGCGTTTCGGAAGTGGTGTTCTACTTTCTGGGTCGCGTACATGCACAATGGTGTGTGTGTGTGTGTTGGAGTCATGAATTCTTTTCGAAAGCTACCCTCAGATTGGCCCACGGGCGGTTTGGCCACCTACTCTTCAGTGTTGTTTCAGTCCACCAGAAACAGATGGTCCTACACCAGAAACAGCTGCAACAGCTTCATCGGTGGCTGTGCATGGCGCCGTGCACACCAATGGCTGCAACCTTCACCTGGCGGGTGCGCCGGGACGGCGCGCGAGCCGCTCGGCGCTGGCGCTGGGGAGTGGCCATGGCGCTGGTGCTGGGCGTGCGCTGGGCCTTTGTGGGACCCACGACGTGCGAACGAGAAGGAGTGGTGCGGCGGAGTAAGGCGAGGTGAGGCGGCTGGGGAGGGTTACGACATGCGCATGAAATGTCACGACATGCTGTGACATGCTGGTAAGAGTTATATAAGTGAAATGGATCTGGAAACAAAACGGCGTTTAGGAGTAGGGCTGTGACTGTGAGTATCCTTTTTTTGTGGAGCAGTAGGTAACGCGATGGTAGGATAAGCCTTCTGCAGAAATCTTCCGTTGAGCCGAGAACAGAAGATGTGTTGCCCGTTGTGGCCTGTCGTGTGTTTTGCCGAAGCAGATGGAGCTCCCATCCCACCCCTTGGGCGCCCACCTAGGCAGAGGGTGCACCAGAGCCTGCCAGCTTGGAGGCTGGGACTTTGGAGACTTGGAAGTGGATTGGACTGGGGATGCAGAGGTGGTTTTGGGGCATAGTCAATCTTAGTCATTAGTCTTTGATTTGCTGGCCTGTTCCCGGGAATTTCGATGAATGTTGCCAGATCGGATGTTCGAGCTGCTGATCAGTTTGTGATTCTTGGCCGTGCCACTCTGTCCAAGTTAAGAGCCATAACATTGAGATCCTATAGAAGCTGGATTTGAAAAGCACTTCATGAAGAATTTGGCTCCTACCCGACTTGTCAGGTCACAGCCATAACATTGAACACCAAAAACAAGGCGTCAAAAAGCCTGCTTGAACTGCCATAAAGGCTTTGCAAGATCTGAAGTTCTTAGCCTGGGTCGACTTTCTCTCATCGTATTGCCATGCAAAGGCTTTTCTATCAAACACACTGCGCTCCCCTATATTCACCACATCATCGCCACACCTTCTGACACCAAGGAAGTCATCGGAGAGAATACTTCCGCCGCGGTGCGGCTCCTGTACTCTCCCGGCGTCCAGTCCTTGTTGGCCTTACTCAGCAAGTTGCAGACCACCTCGGATGCCGCTCGCATCACTGCAGCGGAGGGCAGAGGGCCTGGGTCAGCGGAGGTTCCTCCCCGGCACCCGGCGGTTTGGATGAAAGACACGAAGCCTCAAACAGCGAAAGCTTGGGAGGATTGGTTTCAGATATGCTTGGGTTCAGCCTAACCCGTGGGATGATTGAACCCACCAGCCAGATAAACATTATATAACATGTTTCAAGGGAATTGAATACCACCAGCCAGATAAACACTTCCTGTACCAGGTATGGACGACATGTTTATTGGAGGTGAGGTGTGCCAAATGGATTGTTGCATGCATGGGTGAACCTTTCTTGTGTGACGCCTAGAGCAAACCTACTGATGGAACTAGCCCAGTTTGTCCACAACTTCATGTTTCTTATTCACATGTATCATTCTCCTACCAAACAAGTCTATACTACAGACATGCATTACAGCCCTCCCTCTTAGACTCTTTAGACACGACAGCGGATCTCTTTTCTTCACCTGCAAAAACACTCACTCATCTAGTGGTAG